CCCCTTCTCTCTCCCCACCCCCGCCATCCCCTTCTGCTAATGGTTAGAGACACCCCCCCGTCTTCCACCCCCTTTTGCGGGGGGGGGGAGAGGCAACTTGTCCCCAGAGACCCCTCCTCTCTTATGGACGTGGTTCATGAAGCTTTCCAAGGGTGATAGCATCAGCAAAATGTTCCTACAGGTATCTCTTTGACATACAAGCCAAAATTTTACGTTGTTAAGCGAGACATTTGTTAGATGAGCTTTGCCCCCATTTTACCCCACTTTCTGGCCACTGTCGTTAAGCGAATCGGCGTCGTTCTTAAATCAGTCATCCGGTTGTTAAGTGAATCTGGCTTCCCCATGGACTTCGCTCGTCCAGAAGGTCGCCAAACGGGAATCACGTGACCAGCCCCACCCCCCTCGCCCCCATCCCAGGGGACACGGCGACCGTCATAAATGTGAATCGGTTGTCAAGTATCTGAATTTGAATCACATGACCCCCCTGGGGGGGCGGGGGGGATGCTGCAACCAGTAGTGGCCAGTGGTGAAAAATAGTTACGGGAGTTCCTTTCATCAGTGCCATCGCAACTTTGAATGGTCACTAAGTGAACCGTCGCAAGTCGAGGACGAGCTGCTTTCCACAGGGGCAGCCGGCCGGTTTTCGGATCTCTTCTTATTTGGGGAAAGGATTTTTGTCTGTGTTGTGTGTCGACATTCCTGTTGTTTGTCTTCGAAAGACAAGAGAAACATCCAGATATCTGGGCGTGACATAAAATCTCTTTTCTTTTTTTTCCAAATTGGCAAATCGTTTTTAAGAAAAAAAGAAAAGAAAAAAAAACTTTTTTTCCGGCTGCTTTTCGGCTGAAGGGAACCGGACCGGACGGATTGAAGTGGCGATCATTTTACAGGCGTTCCTACCGACCGGGAAATCAGCCCCCCCCCGCCCCCCCCCGATGGCGGAGATCACGGGAGGGAACTGGGTTTGCGGTTTAGGACGTGTGCCCAGCTGTGGCTGGACTGCCCGGAATGTCCGGATTGGTTCAAAGCTGGAATTGCACGGCTGAAACAACACACCTTGTTAAACTTGCTTGCTTCTCTTGTCTTCCCTGCCTCCCTCCTTCCTTCCTTCCTTCCCCTTCTTTTCTTTCTTCCTTTCCTCCTTCCTTTGCCTCTCCCTTCCTTCCCCCCTCATTTTCCTTCTTTCTTCCTTCCCACCTTTCTTTCTTTCTTTTCTTCCTTCCTTTCCTCTTTCCCCCTCTCTCCCTTGCTTCCCTCCCTCTCATTTTTTTCTTTCCTTCCTTCTCTCCCCTCCTTTCCTTTCTTTTCTTTCTCTTTCCCTCTCTATCTCTCCCTTGCTTCCCTCCCTCTCATTTTCCTTTTCTTCCCACCTCCTTCCCTTCCTTCCTTTCCTCCTTCCCTCTGTCTCTCCCCTCCCTCTCTCATTTTCCTTCTTTCTTCCTTCCCGCCTTCCTTCCTTTCCTCTTTCCCTCTATCTCTCCCTTGCTTCTCCCTCTTGTTTTCTTTTTCTTTCTTTCCCTCCCTTCCTTCCCTCCTTCCTCTTCCTCCCTTTTCTCCTTTCCTCCCTGCTTTCCTTCCTTCCCTCCCCTTCCCTCTCCCCTCCCTCCTTTTCTTTCCTTCCTCCCCACCACCCTTCCTTCCTTTACTCCTTCCCTCTCTCTCCCTTCTTTCCCTCCCTCTCTGCCTCTCCTCTCTCCTTTTCTTTCCTTCCTTCTTCCCCATCTCTCCTCCTTCCCCTCCCTCCCTCATTCCTTCCTTTCCTCCCTCCTTCCTTTTTTCCTTCCTTCCTTCCCTCCCTCCCTTGTATTTAGTTTCATGATGTAATCGTTTCTGACCATTTCAGGACTCTTGCTAGAGAAAAGCAACAGAAGAGCGTGTACCTCTTTAAGACAGCGGAGTCGGCCAGTTCAGGCTTCCAAGAAAGGCTCTGGCAGCAGAGATCCAGATTTTTGGAGGGGGGGGACACGGGACTGCCTGCTGTTTCTGTTGCTATGCAACCCCCCCCCCAGATCATGGCAGAGCGTTCCAGGTTTTTTCTAAACACCCCCCACCCCTCTCCCCAAGTGTATTACGCCTCAGTCCAGTCCAAAAATCAATTTTGCTTTAAAAATAAACAAATCTGAACCCTTCAAGAGTGAAGAGTTGAAATACGCAGCCCAGCCTCTCTGGAGAGGTTGCCGGGAACAGCTCTTGCTGTCTTTGGAGCCTGAACAACAACAATTGAAAAGAGAAGAAGAGAAAAGAGAAAAGAGGGAAAGGAAGGAAGGGAGAAAGAAAGAAGGAAGAGAGGATGAAAGGGAGGAAGGAGACAGGAGTGAGATGGAGGAAGAGAAAAAGGGAAAGAAGAAAAGGAGGAAAGGGAGGAAGGAGACGGGAGTGAGATGAAGGGAAAAAGGGAAAGAAAAAGGATAAAAGGAAGGAAGGAGGCAGGAATGAGATGGAGGAAGGGAAAAAGGGAAAGAAAAAAGATGAAAGGGAGGAAGGAAGGAAGGAGACAGATGGAGGAAGGGAAAAAGGGAAAGAAGAAAAAGATGAAAGCGAGGGAGGGAGGAAAGATGGGAGTGAGATGAAGGGAAAAAGGGAAAGAAAAAGGATGAAAGGAAGGAAGGAGACAGGAATGAGATGGAGGAAGGGAAAAAGGGAAAGAAGAAAAAGGATGAAAGGGAAGAAGGAAGGAGACAGGAGTGAGATGGAGGAAGGGAAAAAGGGAAAGTAAGAAAAGAATGAAAGGAAGGAAGGAGATGGGAGTGAGATGGAGGAAGGGAAAGAAAGATGGAAGGGAGGAGATGGAGTAAGATGGAGGATGGGAAAAAGGGAAAGAAAGAGGAAAAGAAAAGGTGAAAGGGAGGGAGGAGGAAGGAAGGAGTGAGATGGAGGAAGGGAAGAAAGAGAAAAAGGGAAAGAAACTTGTGCCAGCCTCCCAGACTGGCCCAAAATTTCCTGGGCACTTTTAAAAAGTTAAAATTCCCCATCTTCAAGCACAGGATCAAAAACCAGAGGCGTACGCAATTCCTGAACCGTCGTCCCGAAAAATACATTTGCTGCACAGCAACAAGGAACCAAGTTATCCATATCAAGAATTCTCTTAATTTCTTTGGCAAGTATGATTTTCTGCTTGGAAAAAGAGCTGTTATTTCAAGGGCTGTTATTCGGAAATACATGTTTGAAGATCCCTCCTCTTAGCCCACCCCCCTCCCTGCTGCAACCAATCTTGCTTGCCAGATAGAGGGGGGGAGGGAAATGAAGCCCAAACCCTCAAAAAGTTTTCCATGTGAAATCAAAGAGTAACTCTGAGCCATGTGCAAAAGGACTTTTCCCCTCTCTCCCTATTCCCCACCAGCCAATAGGCACGTGGTTGGGAAACGCTGCTAAATAATTTGGCAGAGAATTTCCTTTTTTTAAAATAAAAAAAAAAAATCCCTTTGACCGTTCGGAAAATACACCTAACTTCTATGAGACAGGAAAATATCCAGCAGGGCCTTAAAAGCAAATTTTAAGATAAATCTCCCCCTCTGATGTCATTCTTCTTATTTTTCTTAAATTAATTCCCAAGAAAAAGGCAGCTTAAACGCCTGAACTCTCACAATTAAACAACAAGAACAGGGATATGAAATCTTGCCCCAAGAGAACCGTTTCACAAAACATGTTGTGGTGTTGTTGGGTTTTTTAATCCAATTATTTCCTCTGAACATTGTTAGGAAACGACCAGGAATGATACGCATTATATTTAATTATTAATTAATAATTATTTAATTAAATAATTATTTAATGAGATACGTATTTTAAATCAGTGCCTGGCCTACGTATTAAAAAAAAACAAAACAGCACATTAAAAGATTTGCGTCCACCTCTATTTGCCATAGATGGAGTAGCTTTTTAAAATGCTGCAAAATTCCCTATTTTTTTTTTTTTTTTAAATTCTGGATAGGCCAGCGTGGATGGATGCAACTTCGGAAGTTTTGACATTTCAAATACGGGTGGTCCTCGACTTAGGACCAATTTCTGTTGTTAAAGTGACCACATTTGTTAAGTGAGTTTTGCCCAGCGGTAAAATGCACTTACCTTCACTACCGGTTCGGAAATGTGAGCATGCACACCTTTTCACTCTGCGCATGCACAGAGTCTTCTGTGCATGCGCAGAGGGTCAAAAACAGGATGTAATGACGTCCCGGCGGGTGGGCGGAGCCTCCCGCTGCTGGCCCTATGGGTTCGCGCGAGCCAGATAGATCCAGCTGGATTTCACCGCTGGTTTTGCCCCATTTTCTTGTCGCCGTGGTTCACTGAGTCACTGCCGTTGTTAAATGAATAACGCAGTCGTGTAAGTGAACCTGGCTTCCAAGTTGACTTTGCTTATCGGAAGGTCGCAAAAAGGGGGGATCACATGACTTCAGGATACTGCGACCGTCATAAATACGAGTCGGTCGCCAACGGATGCTTTGGCGACCGACTCAGGTTTTTTTATTATTATTATTATTATTATTATTATTTTAATTTGATTTATATGCCGCCCTTCTCCGGAGACTCAGGGCGGTTTACAATGTGCTAAGCAATAGCCTTCATCCTTTTGTATATTTATACCAAGTCAGCTTATTGCCCCCACAAACTGGGTCCTCAATTTGCCTACCTTAGAAAGGATGGAAGGCTGAGTCAACCTTGAGCCTGGTGAGATTCGAACCTGCAGAAATTGCAGGCAGCTGTGTTAATAACGGTGCATTAAACCACTGTACACCAAGGTATTTATGACGGTCGCAGTATCCCGAGGTCATGTGAATCAAAATTTGAATTTTGATTCACATGAGTCCACAGGGATGCTGCCAACGGTCTTATTTTTCAGTGGCCGTCGTAACTTTCGACAGTCACTAAGCGAACCCGTTTGTAAGTCGAGGGCTGCTTATAAAGTTGACACCTCAACTTCCCAACTTCTTTCTCGGCTTTTACACCCAGTGATGAATTCTACGAGCTCCTTTCACACATTTAGGAAAGACACAAAGCTTTGGATATTTTTTTTTAAGTCTTTTTTTTTTTACTACCGCTTCCGTTTCACAAAAATCCCCCCCCTAAACCAACACCTTTTTTTTTTACACACACACAAAAGGGGAAGCTTTACAGCAAAGCTTGTTCTGAGCATTTCCCTCTCCTCCATTTGCGGGGAGCAAATTTGGGGGTGCAGAAAATAAACCTCTGCATTTAAATCCCCCCCTCCTCTTTCAATTCACCCCTTCAAACAGCAGCGTCTGTCCCTTGGCCAGAAAGGGCAAATGCAAAGCTTTCTCGTCCGGGGACGCACAAATTGACTTTCTCTCTTACATATCTGATCTGCGAGAAGATGGAGGGGGGCAGCCCGGGACTTCTGGTTCCTGCCACCTGTCCGTCAAAATCATGGAAAAATAATAATCAGCAGGTTGCAAATCTTTTCAGCATCTGCGAGAAGTCTGTGCCAGCTGCCTGGGGAAGAAGCAAGAATTAGAATGGCTTTTTAGGCCAAGAAGCCGGTACGGGGCCAACGTTGCCCAGCAAATGCTGTTGACTTTCGGAGAGCACCGTCCCGGTAGCGGCGTGGAGAGCCAGGTGCTTGCACAGGTAAGCCCTCCGTCGGAAGCGTTTGGGGCAGTGCGGGCAGTCGTAAGTCCCCTCCGAGAGCTCGGGGTGCAGTAGGGCACCGGAGTCGCGGGCTGGTTTGGGGTTCTCGTTTTCCTTGGTGCCCTCCGGGTGTCCCTCTTTTCGGGGCTTGTGCCAGCGGCGGTGAGAAGCCAGGTTGGCCGGACAGCTGAAAGCTTTGCTGCACTCATGGCAGCGGTACTCGACCCGGGCGATGCGAGAGCAACAGTGTTGTGCCAGGGCCAACGGGCCGGGGTAAGATTCCTGGCACAGCTGGCAGACGAAGGCGCCCAGCAAAACCAAGCTTCCTCGGGCCACGCTGACCCTCTTCAACGGCTTGACCCCAGCGCAGGCCGAGCCCGAACCAGGAGCTTGCAAGGTGCAGATTGGTGCGGATTCTCCTGGCGCCGGAGACCCGGAATTGAGCCCCCGGTCGTGGCAGCCGGAGAGCGGGACGGCACTGATGGGGCGCAAGGGTGCCAGGCTGGGAACGTGGGATTCGGGCAGCCGCCCAACCTTGGGCTGTTTTTGGTGGACTGCAGGGCCTGGTTGCGAGGCTGTGAAACGTTCATCCGGCGGAGTCCGGATCCGGTACGAGACGGGTGCTTCTCGGTGCGTTCTCTTCACTAAGAACCCGCGTGGCATTTTAAGGGGAGACTTGGAAAAATCTGTGGAAGAGGAGAGTTAGGGTCTTCGGGTTTTTTCCTGCACGGATGCTCCCGTCGAGAAGATGCTCCTACGGGCTTCGTCCGAAGCTGAGAACCTGTGGCGCTGCCCTCGGCTGAGCTGGGCTGACGCGTCCTCGCTCCGCTGGATGCAGCTGGCCTGTGTGGGCAGGGGTGTCTGCCCCCCCTCATATAAAGGTCTGGGTCTGCTTTTGTGCAAACTGGAGGCCCCAGATGGCTGCTGTGGAGCAGCCAATGGGGGCTGATCTGGTTGCGTGGCTTCAAATCCCCGGGGTTGGGGGAATGGGAAGCCGGGGCAGCAGATGGGAGACTGGCGCGTGGACCCTGCCATTATGCAGATTGGGGGCACGGATGGCACACGCCATCACAAAAGGGGTGGGTGGGATGGAAGTTGATACCCTGGGGAGGCTGAGAGCATCAATGGGCCCTGGGAGGGAGGAGGAGGAGGAGAGGAGGAGGAGGGGAGGGGAAGCTAGGGCTGGCGGGGGATTAACCCTTTCTGGCCCCTTGTGCAGAGGGATGCAAGAAGCAAAAAAAAAAACCCGCCTTCAACTAGGTTAATTCCATCGGTGGGAGACAAACAGGTGCCGATGCGCAGCCTGCCGAGTTCAATCTTGGCTTGTTCTGGGTTCGGTTGTGTGAATGCAACCCGTTGAGTCGGTCGGTGGTCCCGGGTGATGAGTCAGCCCAGTTTAGGCACCAGATCGGTCAGTTGTGAAGTTGGGGGATGGCCAACGGCTGAAGTTCCCCGGTTTTAATGCTCCCCCCTTGTAGAAGGGCAAGGCTGAAAGTTTGAAGAAGGGATGGCTTTACAACTACCGTTTCCCCGAAAATAAGACCTCCCCTGATAATAAACCCAGTTGGGCTTTTGAGTGCATGCGCTAAAATAAGCCTCCCCCCCCCGAAAATATTTAAACGCAGAGCTGGAAATCAGGTAAGATGGCAAGAGGAGCCCCGTCTTGCTCCACGCGCCCCAAAATAATAAGACCTCCCCGAAAATAAGGCCAAGCGCTTATTTCGGAGTTCAAAAAATATATAAGACAGGGTCTTATTTTTGGGGAAACACGGTAGTAGATCTTAGATTGACTCTCTTTCAGCTGCTATATTATTGTAGGTAGGAAAAAAAATGCCATTAATCTGTATGCAAGCCGCATCTTTATGCTGTTGTCGAGAGCATTTTTCAACCTTAGCAACTCTTAAAATGGATTGATATCAACTCCCAGAATTCTCCAGCCATTAAACCGGGTTTAATGTGATATGTGATACGCCCATGTAGCTCCCTCACTCAGGGTGGTATGTTGTGCCTCGATTAAACAGGTTGTGCAGCCAATAGCCGAGATTAAAATGGTTTGTGGGTTTGGGCAATGAGTGAGCTAAGGCCATTGTGGCTTATGCAGCAAATGGTAGCTAATGCATTGCTGGGCCAGTTAGGACTTACCAAGACAGTTGTGGTTACTCTGAGCAGAGTACAGCTTTTGCCTGCCTTCCTTCCCTTTCTCCCTCCTTCTTTCTCATTCCTTCTCTTTTTCTTTCCTTCCTTCATTTTCACCTTCCTTCCTTTCCTCTCTCGGCTTTTTTCTTTCTTTCCACCTAATCTTTCATTGCTCCTTCCTTCCTTTTCTTCCTTCCTTCCTTCCCTCCCTCCTTCCTTTCCTCCTTCTTTCTCATTCCTTCTTTCTCTTTTTCCTTCCTTCCTTCACTTTCACCTTCCTTCCTTCCCTCTCTCTTGGCTTTTTTCTTTCCTTCCAACCAACCTTTCCATTGCTCGCTCCTTCCTTCCTTCCCTCCCTCCCTCCTTTCTCATTCCTTCCTTCCTTCTCTTTTTCCTCCCTTCCTTCCCTCTCTCTTGGCTTTTTTCTTTCCTTCCACCCAACCTTTCCATTGATCCTTCCTTCCTTCCTTCCTTCCCTTTCTCATTCCTTTCTTCCTTCTCTTTTTCCTTCCTTCCTTCCCTTTCACTTTCTTTCCTTCCTTCCTTCACTTTTTCCTTCCTTCCTTCACTTTCACCTTCTTCCTTCTCTTTTTCCTTCCTCCCTTCACTTTCCTTCCTTCCCTCTCTCTTGGCTTTTTTCTTTCCTTCCACCCTTTCCATTGCTCCTTCCTTCCTTCCTTCCTTCCCTTTCTCCCTCCTTTCTCATTCCTTCCTTCCTTCTTCTTCCTTGCTTCCTTCACTTTCACCTTCCTTCCTTCCTCCCTCTCTCTTGACTTTTTTCTTTCCTTCCACCCAACTTTTCCATTGCTCCTTCCTTCCTTCTTCCCTCCTTCCCTTTTCCCCCTCCTTCTTTTTCCTTCCTTCCTTCCTTCCTTCCTCCTTCCTTCCTTCCTTTCCTCCCTCCTCCTTCTTCCTTCCCCTGTCCATATCTATGCCTCTTCCAACCTGCACAGAGCCCAAATGTCATTTTTCCACTTAGGTGCAGAATATCTGCTTGTGTGCAGGAGAGTTGTAAGATGTCTTGAGGGTGGAAAGCAGTTGAACTCGGACTGTTCCCTCTCGAATTGAATTGTAACAGGAACCAAGTGGTGAAGGAAAAAATGCTTGACCCGTGCATGCAAATCTTGTCTCCCCTCCACGTTTCTTAGGCCTGAGGCTCCATCTTTGCCTCGTATATTTTCGATCAGGGAGTAAAAAAAAGACTGCAGGATAACACTGCTGGCCCAGAGAAACCGAAGCCCTCCTTAAAAATGAAGAACGACAAACACGGGGTGCAAAATGGAGTTTTAGCCCCAGATTAAATAGCAGATTTATTAGAAGCCGACAAGACAAGCAAGCGAGGGGGGGGGGTGTCTTTTGTTCCTTCCTCTCACGCCTGAATTAACGGCCTATATCTAATTTCAATCATTTCTCACTCGCTTCGTCTTTCAAATCTCCTACGGAGCAGAGAAGCCATTGGATTAGCCTGGATACTTAGCCAGAAGGGAGGGCTGGAAGAGGTCATGCTAAGTCAACCCTGCCCTGCACAGCCCTCGCAGACAGCTCCCCCCTCCCCACTCTGTACATGCTCAGGGGCCCTCTGTTAGGGATGGCTGGGAGGATGGGAAGGTGCTCCAAGGTTTTTAGCCTGGCTATCTTCAAGTTGGATGCCCAAGTGTCGAACGTGAAGAGGAGGAGAAGTTGAAGAAGGGAGGGAAGGAGGGAGGGAAATAGTGAAAGAAGGAAGGTGGGAAGGACGGAGGGAGGGAGAGAGGGAAATAGGGAAGGAAGGTAGGAAGGAAGGGAGAGAGGGAAATAGGGATGGAAGGGGGAAGGGTAATAGTGAAAGAAGGAAGGTAGGAAGGAAGGAGGGAGAGAGGGAAATAATGAAGGCAGGAAGGAAGGGAGAGAGGGAAATAGGGAAGGAAGGAGGAAGGGAAATGGTGAAAGAAAGAAGGTAGGAAGGAAAGAGGGAGAGGGAAATAAAGGAAGGAAGGAGGAGGAAATAGGGAAAGGAAGGCAGGAAGAAAGGGAGAGAGGGAAATAGAGAAGGAAGGAGGGAAGGAGGAAGGGAAATTGTGAAAGAAAGTAGGAAGGAAGGAAGGAGGGAGAGGGAAATAGGGAAGGGAAGGGGGAGAGAGGGAAATAGGGAAAGAAGAAAGGAAGGGAGAGGAGGGAAGGAGGAAGTAAGGAAGGGCAGGGAGGGAGGAACACAGGAAGGAAGGAGGAAGAAGGAAGAAGGGGAGGGAAGAGCAAAGGAAAAAAGGAAGGAAAGAGGAAGGAGGAAGGAAGATATAGGAAGAAGAAAGAAAGGGAGCAGGGAGGGAGGAACAAAGGAAGGGAGGAAGGAGAGGCAGAAGGAAGAAAAAGGAGGGGTAGAGGGATGAAAATGGAAGGAAGGAATAGAGAGAAGAGAGGAATGATGAAAGGGAGAGGAGAAAGAAAAGAAAAGTAAAAGAAGAAAAAAAAAAGGAGAGGAAAGGAATGGAATCGGATCTTGCTGGCCAGGAAAACCCATTGCAGCCACTCATTTCCATGAGATATTCTCATTTTCCAACGCAGCTTCAGAAGACCTTCCCTTCCGCAGATCCTGCAGATCCCCTTCCATGGCAGCTTGGCCAGGACGGTCACCAGAGACCCTCTGGCCAGCCGGGGGCCGGCCACCTTCCCTGCCCTCCCTCCCTCCTCTTTGTTTAGGATTTCATCTGGCCTCATTGTCTGAGCCCAGCGCAGTTGGTCCATCCGCAAAGAGGAGTGGGGGGCTGGAGATGCTCCCTTTTCACAAGCCCCTGCCCTTCTCGGCCCCTGCTCCCTGGGGATGGAGGGGGGGCACAGGAGGCCTCCTGGCGCATTAACATTTTGCACAATGCCCCCTCCTCTGCCCCCCCCCCCCCGGGAAGCCAAGGAGCGTGTCTGAATAGCGGAGACACGCGCCTTCCTGACCTCCTGACCCCCTGTCCATAAAGCTGCAGGGGCTTCCTTGCAGATGCCAGACAGTTAGACCCCTCCCCTTGGCTATTATACACACACACACACACACACACACACACACACACAAAATCAGGACCGGCTGTAGTTAACCCTTTCAGACCAAGACCCCTTTGCTAGATACTAACTGTAGAAGGATTGGCGCACAACTTCCAGAATGCCAAAAAAATAAAAATAAAAAAATCAAATTATGTATGCATAGAATTCTGAATATAAAATCCAGAATAGAGTAGAAGAGAAGAGAATTCTGGAGTTGAATAGAATAGAAGAGAATTGAGAAGAGAAGGGAAGAAGAGAATTCTGAATATAAAATTCAGAATAGAAGAGAAGAGAATTCTGAAAAGAAGAGAAGACAGAAGAGAAGAGAGAATAGAAGAGAAGAAAATAAAATAAATAAATAAATAAATAATTTTATTTCTATACCGCCCTTCTCCCGAAGGACTCAGGGCGGTGTACAGCCAATTTAAAAACACAACACACAACAATAATTAAAAATTTAAATATAGAGAAGAGAAGAGAATTCTGAATATAAAATTCAGAATAGAAGAGAAGAGAATTGTGAAGAGAAGTGAAGACAGAATAGAAGAGAAGAAAGTATAGAGAAGAGAAGAGAAGAGAATTCTGAATATAAAATTCAGAATAGAAGAGAAGGGAATTCTGCAGAGAAGAGAAGATAAAGAATAGAAAAGCTAGGAAAACATTTCCAAAGGCTAAAATCAATATTCATTTTATTCAAATAGGCATATGTCTCGG